ATACATGCAGTAAAAACTACTTCGGCATTGCGAAACCGCTGAGTTACCACGGCGGTTTCATATTAAAAACCAATGCTCAATTACGTATACAAGATCCGAGCCTATTGCATTCCACCAATTTTTAAACCACTTAATAGACCCGGGTCTAGTACGCGCCCAGAGGTTATATCGTGAAGGAAAAAAAATTTAAAGTACATACTGTACATACTTTGTAGTTATAATAGGCAGTCTAATTTCAGTATTTGAATTTAATTAATAAAGTTTTCGTGGTTCGCGCCCGGTTCTAATTACGATAGTTTTTGCGGCATGTCAAAAAGTACGTATGTACGTACGTACAATTTTAAATTTTTTCGATAAACACGTGAAAGATTTGTTCATTATCATGAAATATACAGTAATTGAACGAAATTGAATGAATTTTTTCGTGTGGATTCTAAGAATTTACTTCCATATGTATAATATATATTATATATGCAATTACTTGAAAAAAAATATAGACAACATTACACAGATAAACTCATCAAATAAATTCATTCTAAACTCATAAAATTAAAGTACTAGAATCATAATAATAACTTAATGTGGTTTTTTTTTACAATTCAAAAGTTTCACAATGGACTTTGATCAAACAACTTCCATCACTTTCAGCTACCGCAGCAGATCTCACTTCTTTCAGCATTAAAGCTGGACCACATACTCCTACAGCAATATCACCACTACCATGATAATGCTTTAGATCTTGCATCATCGTTACAAAGTTTGGTCGACCTTGGAAGAATACAGATGATGGTGTTGTTGTCGACCTTGTAAGGAATATTTTGATGTCAAGTAGATATTTTGATTCTGGTAATCTTTTGGTGACTCTATCTTGGATCTCATTTAATTCGTTTCCAAACCATGAATAAGAATCTATTTATTAAAAATATTATAAATGATAAATATTATTATTATAAATTATTGTTTATTATTATTTATTATTAATAAAATAATAAAATTTTTTTTAAAAAAAACTTACTGGTGTCAGGTACCATCCATATTCATAATCATTGGAGTAATACCAATACCACCAGCCACCAACATAACAGTTCGGTATTGTAAAAAGTCAAGACTTGGTTTTCCATATGGTCCATCAACTTTCATTTTCAGAGGAACATTATACATCCCTTCCTGTGATTTAGCGAATAATCGACGTGTAAATGATCCTTGAACTTTCATATGTATGGTATCAGGATTTATATCATCTACTGCAGGCGCCGAAGAGAAAGATACAGGATGCCATGCAATTAAAGATACTGGTACATTGAGATTCGGAAAGTTTACAAACATGTATTGTCCAGCTTCATAATATGATCTGTAATTAAAGGCTATACGAGTGACATTGGCCGAAAGTGCTTCAATTGATACCATTTCAACAGCTTTAAATCCAGTAATGAAACGAATGACACGATCAATGATATAAAGTGCGAAGCCATATATGGTAAAGACCACGAATTGTGGTTGATGAAGACAACCGAAAATGAAAAAGAAGAGAAAAAAGAAATGTGACCAGTAGAATACTTCAAAGAAGTAACGTCGAAATAGAGAATGTGACATGATTATGATTATGAATATGGATGCATAAGCAAGGAAACCGTATAAAGTGACACTGCCTCTAAAAATTTGTGTAAGAGAACCAGCAATTTGAATTTGGTAAGAAGCATGAATTGAAATAAGGATAAAAATTGTCCTTCCAACCCAACGATGAAATCTGATCATACGTTCAAAAGGAACACCAATGAGTTTTATGAAGACTGAGTTTCTAGTAGCCAAGGGATATATGAAAGCAGCATTGCCCAAAGCAACGTAAGCAGCCCGAATGTTGGGTCGTGAAGGAATGTCACCAAAAGGTGCCACCAAAAAAATAATGTTTATACTTATGTACAAGCAGAAGATAATTATTTCACCAATTGACATATCGCCAACCCCAATAACATGAATAACATAATTCCAGAACTTATGAGCATTTACGGTTGGAGCAAGATGAATTTTAGTTGCAGGAGAGAGAGCAACACTAGATTGACTCATTCCTTGTGCATAAATATTGGATTCATTTTTATCTTTTCGTTGAGGTAAATCGATGAGGGTAGGTGTCTTTGAACCCGAAAGATATCGCAGAATTTGTTTAGTCTGATATACTATCGAGATAACTATAACAATTGCAACAAAGGTCGAAGCCTCATAATAGCCAGCACTAAAATCTGCACCACTTGCACCACTTATATAACTAGACATTTTTGTTTTTCTTTTTTTTTTTTTTGGTCGTCTTCCCAGATACGATTATTATATGAAAAATTGCTGTACTTGACGATGATAGAATAGAGCACTGCGGTTAGCTTTCCCCTTTTTTTTTTAATAAATTTAAAAAAGAGACCAGCTCTAAAATTATAAAA